AAACCCAGCTAACTGGGTCAAGCCCCATGAATCTGGACGGTGGTGGTGGTGGCGAGAGGGGCGTAGGGAGAATTTGCTCTTAACACAAAGTTCCCAGATGCTACTGCTGGGGCTGAGGTTTGGGCCTATCATTCCATTTCCCCAAAGGCCACTGTTCACCCTGCATGCCAGTGATTGATTGAAGTCCAGCTCAAAACTAAACCCACCAACAAAAGTACACCCTCCCTCACCTCCTGACCTCAACATGTGTGCATATCTGCCAGAGAGCTGTTGCTTTGATCTCTTTAGCCATACCTCCTGAATCCTGCTGGCTATTACCCACAGCTGCTAACCAGTTACTCTGCACATTCTGGAATACCCCCTCACGCCCGTCCAAGATCAGCCTCCTTCCCGAGTTTGGCCATCTCTTTGTTGAGAGGAGAAACTGTTGAGTTCACCCTGCTTCCACCAGATCCTCCCTCTGGGGAGTGGGGAAGAAGCCCCTTGAAGACAGGAGCACCAGCCTGGGGGTGTTCATGTACTGCCTCCAGTGAGTTAAAGACCAGCGTTGTCAGGCTCTGCTCCAGTTACAGACACCTCAGTAGAGCCATGAGTACAAAGACGCATTGGGCCCCCAGAGACCAGAGACAGTTAATCAGCAATACCGGCCTTCGAGCAGTGTCTGCTTTCTGGTTACTTGCACAGGCAAACCTTGCTTTGTTGCTCGTCACTTATTGTATTCACAGATTTTTTTTTTTAACAGACTGAACAATTGTTGACAGGTACTCACTTTGTGTCTCTGCATCTCGTTCAGCTAAGACATGTGCATTGTTTTGCAGCCATGCTGCTGCTACTCACTTAACTATGCTTAGTGTAAACATAATTTTTATATTTCCCGGGAAACTGCAAACACCAAGTTTTACTGGGATGTTCCCTGAACCACAGTGTTCTGGAAGCAAACCCACAACCTCTGGGCGCTCGCAGTCGCTGCCCTCCCTGTCAGCCCATGCTGCTCTCCTCCCAGTCCTTCCAGTCCCTGGCTGGTGACTGACCTACACAGACAGTTGGATGTCCTTTCTCCCAACAGGAGAAGGAGCCCAGCACTTAAGCATCCCTCCGAGTCCTCAGCTTGTTTTGTGGTCTTTGAAACTTGGAGAGAAATGGCACTTTCTGCAGTAAGCCACATAATAGAACTCCAGGACACATGAAAGGCAGATGAGAGGAGATGTTCTGTCGCCTATTTAAGTGTCAGTGACTCAGCCCTGAGGACTGCACTGAAAACGTTCTGACTTCTCAGTTGTGGGCACCTGAAAGGGTGTTGCCTCACGCCGACCTCCTGTGCTGTGGCCTTACCTGCGCACGCTCTCACATTCTCCTGATCTGAACAGTAAGTTAGAGAAACTCAACACAAACAAGTACAGCACAAGGAGAACTTTTAGCTCACCCGGGCAGTGTGGACTGGAAATGATCAGAGTTGAGTAAGGAGCTATGGGAACCAGGATTTACAGACCAATGCTGGTTCTATGGATACCAGAACCCTCTTTTGAGCCATTCAGCTCTTATCTCTGTTTACCTTTGAAGATGGGCCTGGTTCTCTTCTACTGAAAGAGGACCATGGTCACCTCGGAGTATGTTACAAGGCTGTGAGAAACTAGAGTGGGGTTGTTCTCAAAAGACAGAGGGACGCCAACAGACATCCACCACAAACAGGGAGCATGTTAGGTCTTTACAGCACACAAGGTACTGTACTAAGTGCTTGACATACACGTTCTTATTTAATCCCCATGCCAAATCTATATAAAATGTTTGCCTTTGTTTTGTTTTGTTTGTTTTGCTTTGCTTTGCTTTTTGGGTCACAACCAGTGTTGCACAGGGCACAGGGGTTACTCCTGGCTCATGCACTGAGGAATTACTCCTGGCAGTGCTTGGGGGGCCATATGGGATGCTAGGAATCGAACCCGGGTCAGCAAATGCCCTACCCGCTGTGCTATCACTCCAGCCCCTGTTTGCCTCTGTTATGAGTGAAAAGGCAGAGCATAAATTATATCTGCTCCCTTTTTTGCCAGCTGTGTTGCTAGGTTCAGGCCACCCGGTTAATAGTAGCTAGGCAGGAGAAAACATTTTCTTTGGAAGTAAATGCATTGATTAGGAAGAGAACCCAAAAAATAATGTCTTAGCTTTGAATGCCTCTGTATCTTATTAAGTCAAAAGGCTCATAGATGTTATTTAGCCTCTTACAAATGTTATTTTAGGTTTCCAATTGTTCAATAAGAATCATTTAAATTTTTCAACAAAATTGCCATCGCTCTGTGAGTCTGTTTTGAAGAAAGATCACACAGCTTTGCCACTAAGTGGAAATGGATCCCAGTAGACCCCGGACCAGATCATGGTGTGGCTCCTGGTGCCAGGACCCTCTTGAGAGAGAGCTGGATTCTCCCTGGGTGTTAACTAGACTGCATTTCACACAGTTGCAGAGGTTGTCTCGTCTGCTCACCTTTGTGTCCTCACTCCCAGGAAAATAGTTGGCATACAGTAGTGTCCAATACATGTTTGCCCCATAAATGAAACCGATTTCATTCTCCAGTGATACCTCCCATCCTAATGAAATCATTTGGTGACAGTGAGCCAGCCTTCATCACTGGCTCAGCAGTAACCATTCTTTTCTAGGTCTGAATTAAGGACCTGAGTGTTTCTCTCGGGTGTCATTCCTGAGCATCCTACTTTTAGTTTTCATTAATGAAAATGCCTTTAGATAAATATTGTCATGAATTCTTGGTGCTGTTCTTCTATAGTTTTGTTAAATATAAACTTGCAAACATACAGACTACGGACTTCAAATCTGGGCAAAGTGCATCAGACTGAAACCAGACCACCAGATTTCACCAGCTTGATGACCATTGTCAAGTGCAATATTTATCAAGCAATTAGTATGTACCTGGCACATCTATGAATGCTCTTTGTTTACTCTTCATGAAAATTCTATGAATGAGGTCTATTAGCTCTATCCTACTCATAAGAAAAGTGAATTTCTGGAGTCGAAGTACTTAATACAATGCCACAGACTCTTTTTTTTTTTTTATCTTGCAAGTGCTTACCTTGGTATTTTTTTAAATAATTTATTTATTTATTGAATCACTGTGGGAAAAGTTACAAAGCTTTCAGGTTTAGGTCTCAGTCATGCAAATATCAAACACCTTTCCCTTTACCATTACTTATTTTTTACCACGAAGAACCCCAATAAAACCCCACCCCCCAATGCCTGCGAGGCAGATGAATTCTAGTTGACACTCTATCTGCTTTGATTAGATTCATTGTTGCAATAAAAGATGCACCACTATTATTTAGAGTTTACCCCCTCCCCCCAAATCAGACATGCTGAGAAAGCATTGTGAAGTGATTCACTTTCTACAGCTGGGTTCAAGAATTAAATGTTGGTTTTGGATTTCCGCTATTTTGCTAATTAACCCTGGAAGTATTTCTACTGAGAGTCAGATAATTAAGAGATTGGTTTCTGTGTTCTGGAGTCGTGGCCATGCTGGAGAGCTGCTCGTGGGGGGTAACTGGTGGGCTAGGTAGGGTGTAAAGGACGGACCGGAACGCCCCCCTTCCCATGAGGTTTTTGTTGCCCCCACACCACCGGCTCACACCTGCTCTCCACAAGGCTCCCATGTGGCCGCCATCTTCTTTCCAGAGAGGAGAGGGCGAATGGGGCAACACCCTTTCCCCTCCGGGCAGACATGATGGCCTGGATTAACGCATAGTCCGTTCACTTTTCTGCTCCAAGCTGCTGGGTTCTGCATTAAGTCCTTGTGCTTCTGGGGCCATGGCCATGCCGGAGAGCCGCTCGTGGGGGGCAACTGGTGACCTCTGTAGGGCGTGAAGGACGGACCGGAACGCCCCCCTTCCCATGAGGTTTTTGTCGCCCCCACACCCCCGGCTCATACCTGCTGTCCACAAGGCTCCCATAAATGCCGCAGACTCTTAACCTGGCTGACAAGCACTGCTGATACTATCATATTATCTTTCACTCTGTTTCCCAGCCCATAAGTCTTCCTTATGAAGACTTCTCAGAACTGCAAGTTTCTTCTACCACAGAGCTTTTGCTCATACTGCTCCTACCATCTGCAATGCCCATGGGTCCCACTGCCCCACCCCTCTGCCCTCAGCATCATTTCCTCAGAAAAGTCTCCTTCATTTCGGGCACAGTACTTTGTTATATGTATCCTGAGAACTGGTTTCTTTCCTCAGTGGGTCTTACCCCTGACAAATTTTTTTCCTGACTATAATTGAGCATTGAAGAGTGTAGCAATTTTATTTAGGTCTGTCACTCCTCCCCACCAGCAATGGAATTCTGGAGAGCAGGAACCATGTCTGTTCTGCTCACAAATGTCTTCTCAGTGCACTAGCATCCAAGGAATATGCATAGGATCACGATGTATGTGGTGCAAGAAATAGAAGAATTTTGGAGCCATTTGAGTCTGAGTAACTAAATCGAGTTAGTAGACTATTCAGGTTAGGCCTAGCCAAGCTCAGACAGCCACAGGCTCAGACTCATCCACCTTGAAACAAAGACAACTTCCACAAAACACTCAGGAGTAAAACTCACAGCCATTCATTGTTCAACTGAATTTTTACCTGACCCGCAAGTTTGAAAACCAATCAAACCTCCACAACATAGTTTGAATTCTACCTAATTTGCACAGTAGACCACCAATTGGAATTTGATGGATTTCTAACTCCCATCTGTAGAGCTAACTAGAGTGAGAACAATCCCACCTTTCCCATGCAGATATAATACCTAAGTGAAACAGGTAATCCAGAAGGTGATTTAAAGTTTTCTTTGGAGCCACTCCTGGTGGTAGTTAGGGCTTACTCCTGGCTCTGAGTTCAATGATCACTCCTGGAAGTACTTGGGAGATCATATGAGGTGCTGTGGATTGAATTCTGCTTGGTTGCATGTGAAGCAAGCACCCTATTCACTGCATTATCATCTTGGCAGCAAAGATTTCTTTATTTTTTTTCAAGGAATCTTTCAAACTCAGGCCCCTACTACCATAACTTACGCAGTTGAGTTTCCCACATTTTGGGAAATCTCAGGGGTCACCACATCTGGAGGGCAATGGATAAGCCTCACCCTGGAAAAACACCTTCATGTGATTATGATCTCTCCCCTACCAGGTCATACTGTTTCTACCACTTGCAATGCGCCTGAAAGATTTCTTGAATGATGTCTCTCAGACTGCAGTCCTAATGAAACTCTAAATGACTGCTAATATTCAACTAAGTCTTGTTCACTCTGGAATAATCTTGATATGATTATAGAACAGACCAAGAGCCTACTAGACCCACCTCCCAATCCCCAGGATGCCTCTGTCTGAAGGAGACCAGTTTGATGAGCTGTTTGGACTTAGTATCCCCAACAGACTTCACAGCCACTAGGTTTTACTGCCAAATAACATGATCAAGTACTGACACTCCCACTGTGCTCTCAGGCACCTCCCTGGCCGAGGCCCCATGGTCCTCTTGATCTCTGTTTCACTTGAATTTTTATGAGGCAAATTATTTTTATAACCAGAGAAGATCATAAAGAGCATTATTAAAGTCTGCCAGAACTAAGTAAAACTCTAAGGCTGCATGAGTTCTGTCTCTGAAAACTCAACTGGTTTGGTAGAGAGAATAAAGTATTTATTGTACAACTTTTATTGAAAGTGTGTAAAGAAGCACTAGATGTTTGATTTTTTTTCCTGGAAATTCTTCTATTGTGTAAAGAAGCATGAGATGTTTGACTTTTTCTGGGAAATCTTCAAGCACTATCCTGGTAGAGTCCTGGGGTCAAGAACGCTACTAGAACTTGTTTGGGGGTCATATGGTGCTGGGGAGTCAACATCCAACACTCCTCTCGGTTCTTGGGCATTCCTAAGTGATGAAAGAAAGATAGAATATTATTCAAATATTCTCTTTTGTTTTATTTTTGGAGTTCCAGGGATCAAACCCAGGGTCTCACTCATGTAAGACAAGTGGCCACATCCAGAGTCAAGTCCTGTCTTTCAAATATCCTCTTTGCTCAAAACACAATGATGTGCTGTTAGTATTAACAGTACTAAGAAGAGAACTGGAGAGCCAGAATATTACAGTACAGTGAATTTTCAGAGAAGGACTCGTGATTGTTGCCTGATTGATACTTATCTCTGAGACACACAAAGGGAGCAAAATCACGGGCCAGGTGGTGCCTATTCTCCTCCCTCCTGGAGTGCTTCTTTCTCAGACATTAGCTTAACTCTATACCTGGTCCCATGGAAAGGTGTGAAATGATTTGGTTTTATAAAGCATTAGTTACTTTTGTTTTTCTGCCTTTTTTTAAAAAAAAAAAAAGGTTTTCACAGTGCTGTGGGGCCCTATGCATGCCAGGAATGTGCTCTACCTGTGGGATCTTTTCCCTTCTAAATGAAAGATTGTCCTCAAATCTTTTGATCTTTCCCCATCTAAGCATTGTTGAGGTGGAATGGGGGTGGGACAGTCACATCTAGTAGCTTGGTCTGGTGATGTGGGTATGACAATTTGATGCTTGGACTAGGTAAAGCAAAGATACTCAACCCAGAGGTGCTGGGGAACACCAGAGCCACATCTAGCCATGCTTGGGCAGTCCATCAGGGCTACACCCGGCAGTGCAGGTGGTAGGAGTGGGGCATGTAATGTCCTAGATTGAACACAGGGCCACATGTGTGCTCTATCTCTTTGAGCTATCACCCAATTCTGAATTCTTGTTTTAGAGAATACTTGGTGGTGATGGTGGTGTGTGTAGGGGGTAGGCAAATTAATATGCATGTTTATCGCACTTCTGTGTTCATCTGAACTAAAAGTCTTCATCTATTTCTCCTATCTTGGCTGTAGAGATAGTTCAGTGGGCTGAGTACATGCTTTACATGTGAAAACATAGGTTCAATCCCAGCACCCCAGTCTCTCCTCCTGTACAGATTCTCAAACCAGCAGTGGCCTCTGAGTACTACCAGGTGTGGCTCCAAAGCAAATACAAGCTAACAGAGGAGGATGACCATGCCTTGAACGCAGCTGAGTCTGGTTTGACCCTTGATACTGCATGGTCCCTTGTGCATCATCAGGTGCAGCTCTGAAGGCCTCTGTGTGGGACAAATCCCAACATCTCAGGCCCCAAGAAGCACTCTGATGTTCACAGGCCTCACACTGAACCACCTCCTGCTTGGCCAAGAATCACTGCTTGGCTCAGGTCTTCTGAGCATCACCTGGGAGGCCAAAACAAACAAAAAAACCCAAACCCTCTACTTCCTAAAAGCAACCATAGTTTAGTTGAAAGAAGCGTGAGATTTAACCTATGCCTCACTGGAATAGAATGAAACTGGGCCAAGTGCAAGATCACCAGGTCTGTTTGTGAAGTAACTAAGCAGAGCTTCTGCTAGTGGATCTCCCACCCTAAGAGGAACAGTCTTTGTCTCCCTCACATTGACTTACATTTTTATGTGTCACATTATTTAACCCACCCTTGATTGTCATAATATTAAACCCATTCTTGATTAATTCTCCCTGGAAACTCTCATCTTATTAAGTATTAAGTATTTAACAGAAGTTTAGTCTCATTACTGAAGCTGATTCTGTCATTTAATTACTGAAAAGAGGACAAATGTCAGGTATATAAATTCATTTTTCTGGTCATCTTCTTGATAAGACAGTTTTCTTAGCAAAGGCAGTCAAGTTTTGTTGAAAGAACTGTCACTGGGGATGGAGATATAACTCACAAGGCTAGTGCCTGTGATTCGCATGTGTGTGAGTGTGGGGGGTGGGTAGGAGCACAACTGGGTTTGATCCCTAGCACCACACGGTCTCCTAAATACTGCTGGCAGTGACTCCTGAGTACCAGGATTTCCTGAGCACTACCAAGTGTGACCCCCCAACTAAACCCATCCATTAGAAATTTCCTCTGATGGTTTTCTTTGGGCCGCGGCACATACCACAGCACAGTGCTCAGAGGACCATATGTGGTGCAAGGGATTGAACCCAAGTTGACCGTGTACAAGGCAAAGGCCCTATTCACTATACAATCACTCCAGTTTTTTCCTCTGATTTTTAAGCATCTAAATTCTCTATAGATCCTGGCACTATCCACCACAGTTTCTCGCCATACTATGAGATGGTGGATCTCCATCCTCATTCTTCATTGGAATCACCTGAAAAGTTTTTATTTCAAGGGACTGCTGTGTCACCCATATGCCAAATGCCAGTTCCCAGACCACCAGAGCTTTAAGCATCCTGGTGGGCTGGAGCGATAGTACAGGGTGTTTGCCTTGCACACAGCCAACCTAGGTTCATTCCCTGGCATTCCATGGTGCCCTGAACACTGCCAGGAGTGATTCCTGAGAGCAGATCCAGGAGTAACCCTTGAGCATCGCCGGGAGTGACCCAACAAAACAAAACAAACAATAAGAATGTGCATCCTGGGATGAGATGCACTGATTTGAGAGGACAGAGCTTCCCTGAGACCATGAATACCAGTTCTCCCAGGTGCCAGTCTGTATGAAGCAGAAAATGCTTCTGGTCATTGTAAACTCAAGTGACAGCACAGTCATTGTGATACGGCCATTGCCTTTGTGGCCAGTTCCTCACTTCATTCCCTGCACTTGAGCCCAGAGGCCCCAGGAAGCCCCTCCTCAACACAAAGACTGTTGAGAACACATTTGCCATACAATAACCTTTTGTTCCCATCACTTGATCACTTGATCACTTGATCACTTGACTTCCTGTTAATTGTTGATTTGCTCGAGCGGGCGCTAGTAATGTCTCCATTTGTCCCTGTCGCGTGCTAGTGTAGCCCAATGGCATCTGTTCACTCTAGGAACATGAAGAGCCTCAAACTGATTGTTCATGATCCTGAGGAAGAAGAAGTCTGACCATCTGGTAGGTGGGCGGCCACGTGGTCTTTTGACATCCCAGGGAATCCAGTCGGTAACAGCTCTAGTCCAGTGGTCGTCTCTAAATCTCATTACGTGACCAGCCCATCTGATTTTTGACACCTTGGCAAACGAGACAGCATCCCTGATTCTTGATCGTCAACGGATGTTGAAACTCCGGATTCTTTCTCTCATTTGAGTGAAACGTGATATTCCAAGCATAGCTCTTTCAATTCCTCTTTGGGAGACCCGAATAGCGTTCTCATCCTGTTTGCATAGGGCCCAGGTCTCTGAGGCATATGTTAAAGCAGGAAGAGCAGTGGAATCAAAGAGATGTGCCCGGAGCTGGAGGTTCTTCATCCTCTTAGCTATTTCTTCGACACTCTTAAAGGCGTTCCAAACCGCTCACTTCCTCCTGCACAGCTCGGGTGCCAGGTCATTTGTCATGTTAACTTCTCGACCTAGGTACACATAACTGTTGCATTCGAAGATGGTCGTTCCATTGAGAGCGAATGGGGCATCAGGAACGAGGCTATTTCTCATAAACATTGTCTTCGTAAGATTCAGCTGTAGACTGACCTTTCCACACTCACGGTCGAAGTCGGCCAGCATTTGTACCGCTTGGCTGATGTTTGGTGTTATTAAAACAATGTCATCAGCAAAGCGGAGGTGGTGTAGTTGCTGACCATCTATCTTCACTCCCATTCCTTCCCATTCCAGTCATCGCATGATGTTCTCGAGGGTGGCACTGAAGAGTTTTGGTGAAATGGTATCACCCTGCCGAACCCCTCCTTGACATTGATGATTACTTCTTTGTAGAATGGTGAGATCCTGGTAGTGAATCTGTAATACAGCTCATGGAGGATCTTGATGTATTGAGCTTGAATGCCCTGATTGGCTAGGGCTTCAATGACCGCTTCCGTCTCAACAGAATCAACGGCCTTCTTTAAATCAATGAACGTTAGACAGAGCAGCATCTTGAATTCCCGAGAAACCTCAATGAGCTTGGTTATCATGTGGATATGGTCGATGGTGCTGAATCCTTTGAGGAACCCGGCTCGCTCGCATGGTTGTCCTTCATCTAGTGTTCTCCAATCCTATTTAGGATGACTCGAGTGAACAACTTGTAGATGACAGATAATAGGCAGATCGGGCGATAGTTGCCAATGTCATGGATGTCTCCCTTCTTGAACAGTAGTACAGTCTTGCTGGTTTTCCATTAGGACATGGTTTGGCGCATGCCTCAGGCAACCGCGAGCGAACATCCG